TAATGATGCTGAAAATTCAGCTTTGATCACAGGAATAAATACATTTTACAATATATTCAAATAGAAAATGGCTATTTTATATTGTAATAGTTTCACAATATTACTGTTTTTGAACCAACATACCAGAAAAAAATTCCAGATTTTATGCATTTTATGTGGGACTTTTAATTTTAAACAACCTGAAATACACAGGGACTCTTATTTTGGAATATGTATGTTCGCTACTACAAGCAGCTCTTTCAAAGAGATGAGGGAGATAAAAATGTGCTTTTACAACCACCTACAACATATTAAAATATAAACACCATAAAGTAAATTCATTCAGTCATGAAGTCTTCATGTTAAAATTTTTTGTACTAATGTCCATTACTGTATATTTAGTTGGGTTGTCTTGAAACTAAAACAGTACTCTGTGAGTTAAGGTTTACAATTTCACTAGATTTTTAGGTTAATTCTGTTTAGCCAGTTTTTCCTCATTCTTTGACTGGGAAAAACGCTAATCTGCCTGATCTCTGTGTGCCGCAGGTTCCAGAGAAATTGCTGTTATCTGCGTGCCATCTCCTGGTCTCCATGGCGACCACCGTGCGGCCAGTGTTCCTGGTGTCATTGCCAGCGGTGCAGAATATCTTCAACCTGATCACAGAGAATCATAACCACAGATTACCTCCGGAGGTGTGTGTGCGTGGGTTTATATTGGTCTGTCTTTGAAAAACAGGACAGTGTGGCACAGTTTGTACTTGGATCCATCTGTATTTGTTTGTGATGTAATGTTTGTTGTTGTTGTCCAAGGCTCACGTCCTCGTGTGTCGAGCTCTGTCTAACATGCTGCTGTTGCCGTGGCCCAGCCTGCCAGAGGCGGAGCAGCAGTGGCCGAACCGTTCAGCCAATCACGCGCGGCTTCTCAGCACTCTCACGCATCAGTACCGCCTCCTGCCCCGCCCACCCAACCATCATCACAACAGTAAGAGCAACAGATGATTATTAGCTAATAGCTATAGTATTTATTAATGGTAATATAGAATTTTTTTTTTTTTTTCAGCAAGGATGCATTAAATTGATTAAAAGTGACATCATTTATAATTGTACAAAAGATTTATATTTCAAATAAATGCTGTTCTTTTAAACTTCCAATACATCGAAGAGTCCTGAAAAAAAAATTATCACAGTTTTCAGAAAAATATTAAACAGCATAACTGTTTTAATAATAGCAAATGTTTCTTGAGCAGCAAATCAGCATATTATAGAATGATTTCTGAAGGTTCATGTGACACTGAAGACTGGAGTAA